AACCAGCAGGATCGAGCCTCGTCACATTTTATTTATTAATATGGGGTGAAACAGATTATGCTGACCATATGTTAAGTACTACGATATGAAGACTCATGGGGTAGTGGAGGTAAATCTCCAATCATTCTTAATGTAAGCATTATATGATGATGATGATGATTGAGCAGATCCAAGCTCTGATAGTTTCAAGCCGGGGTTAGAGTGCCTCAAAAGACATTTATCTTAATAGAATTAAAGCTGCCATGCAACTTATGGAACGGCACCAGGGCGTTGTGTGTGATGCATTGAACTCATAGGATTCCATTTTGAACAATTTTTTTAAATGCATTAAGTGACAAATAAACTTCTAATCCATATTAGTGCACATATTGCTAACCAGGAGAGAGCCGGGTTCGGGGGACGCAGGAGTGTAGTTGGTTGAGTCACTGTGCTACAAGCCCGAAGGTCGCGAGTTCGAATCCCGATGAGTTTTTTTTTTCAGTTGACCTAATCCTTCCAGCCTCACTATGGAGTCGACTCAAACAGAAATTAGTACCAGAATCTTCCCAAGGGGTAAAGAACGGCCGGCGGGTGAGGCTGACAACCTCACAGCCATCTGTGAGCCGATTGTCTAGATAATGTGGGACCCTCAACGTCTCACAACCCTATGGGCCTCCACGGCCTGGTACGGGGATAGCTTTACCTCTAGCAGAGAGTCGGGATAGCGACTGGCTACGAGCTTGACGACCGAGGGATCGGAGTTCGAGTACTGGCATGGTCAAGAATTTTCTCTTCTCAACGTCGTTCAGACCGGCTATGAGGTCCACCCAGCCACCTATCAAATGGGTACGGGGTTCTTTCCCCAAGGGTTAGGCGGTCGAAGCTTGAAGCTGACCACTCACCTCCCATTAGTGGCGAGGTTAAGAAAATGCGGATCTATATATCAACTCCCCCATACGCCTTCATGGCGTAGTCCTTAATTAATTACGCACGGGGAAAACTTTACTTTTTACCTTTTATTACTAACCAGTTAATTGTCTTTTGGGCCAACCTGTACATTGGATTGAAGGCTGAATGAGCTCCAGAGACGCGTTGGAGAAGTGAAAATTATGTGATTTTTGAAAAAAATCGAATATCTGTCGTTCATCCCATACCCAGGCACTATATATATATAGTGCCTGGGTATGGGANTTCTGCTGATCAAGAAATTCTTCGTCCTTTACGAGACCCGAAGGTTCATTACCGTCGCCACAGTTGACTTCTAGAATCCATCCTCACACCCAGTTTGTTTAAGATCAATTTATGCATTATCCTCCCAACTTTGCCAAGGTCTTCCAAATTAGTCTGCCTGAAGATTTCCGACTAAATTACTACACGCATTTGACTACTTCCCCATGTCCGACTCACTGCATGACCATAACAATGTGTTGTGAAGAGCTGACAACAAGACGCTCTTCACTATAATTCGTTAACTGCTCTTACCGCGTTTCTTTAGATCCAAATAGGCGTATTCTCCTCCCTTGCTTGTTCTTGCCTTCTCTTTCCTGTATTTCAGAAAATATTTGGAGGCTTACTGTGACAGACATGTCCTTCAAATTAACCTTACATAAAGCATGACAGTGTGAGGTCTATGTTAAACGCTGTTCACCGTAGCTGCCACCCGCAACACTTACCGGGAAACAGATATTTACAGCGGACGAGTTGCAACTCATCAGCCTACATTCATCGTTGTCCATTCGTCTATAAAACAAGCAGTTCGGGGTAGCTCAGTTGGTATAGCGACGGCCTTCGGGCTGGAGCATGGGGGGGNGGTCTATTCTCGGCAAGAAGTAAAATATTTTTTTTCTTATTCGAAGCGTCCACACCGGCTTTGGGGCCCACCCGGCCTCCTATCCAGCGGGTAGTGAGAGGCTCTCTCCCCGGGGATAAAACGGACAGGCCTTGAAGCTGACCACTCACCTCCAATTGGTGCCGAGGTCAAGAATTGTGGAGATATACCTCCACTGCCTCATACTTCTTTATAGTAAAAAGTAAATGTATCCCTGTAACAGGCCGTGGAGGCCCATAGAGTTGTGAGACATAGAGGCTCCAACATTTTGTAGACAATCGGCTGGCAGACGGCGGTGAGGTTGCCAGCCTTATGCGCCGGCCGTCCTGTACCCCTAGGAAGATTCCCGGTACTCATTTCTGTTAGAGGCTGAGTCAACCCCAGGGCCATAGTTCGGCTGGAAGTATTAGGTCAATTGAAAAAATTCAATTACCTCACCGGGAATTGAACCTACGACCTTACGGTTAGTAACTTCATGGTGTCGTGTTTAGTTCATTTAGTACAGGGACAAGTGCTTACTTTCTTTGGAGATGCTGTGTGAGCTATAGGAATTGTAGGGTGGGGAATTAGGAGAGGTAACTTCATGACTATTTGTTTTTAGTGAATTGGAAAGGATCTTGAAGGAAGCAGTCGTGACTTAAACGGGCAGTATCTCGGAGTACTTCGAATGGGATGAGGAAAATCATGAAAATTCTCCGGACGAGATTCGAACGGAGCACCTCCGGAATATATGACTACAGCGTTTTGTTGTTGTTGTTGTTGTTGTTATTGGAGNTTGCCTCAGAGGTCCCCTTGGGACATGAGGTTCTTTTACGTGCCGTAAAGCTACGACACGGGACCGACGGCTTAAAGTGCCTCCCGGAGGACTTGTTCCCTGAATATTTCCGCCTTTAAAAATTCCACGACCTCCGCCGGGTTTGAACCCGCGTACCTTGAGTCACGACTACGGAGGCCGCTAGACTACAACGTTACTGTCACATCAACCAACTCGACGGAAAACGTTAATGTATGGTGTGTAGGAAAGGATTTGCACGGAGGGGTCGTTGCCTAACACGTGGTACCAGCTTGGCATTGGCTTAGGGAAAGTGAACACCATAGCAGTCCTCATACGTAGCACCCGGCAGACAGGCAGACATGTGAAATGGGTAGCTTTCGGATAGAATTCTAGAACATTACTTCAAAATGAAAATTCCCAATTCCGACTCATACAAGCCGCCAAATTCTGTTAAAGATAATTAAATCAAGGAATTTAAGATTGGCTGGGCATTTCGATTAGATGGGAACACCAGAAATATGAGTTGTGATGCAGAAGCTTTCAGAATAGCGGTCATCTGCAGGCCAAAGGAGGGGAGAGGACAACATTAAGATGGGTCTTATGGAAGCAAGTAGTAAGAACGAAAAGTAACTGGTCCGTTGACGCAATGAATGAATTAGAAAACTGATTGACTCTATCCCAAGTTAAGCATTTCCACTGACAGACAAGCAAACAGTAGAGTACCAATTTACTAAGCGGACCTTAATACTGAACGTGAAACTGATAGCCATTCACCACTTAATCAATGTGTTCGTTCTTTATATAACCCGAAGGTTCATTATCGAATGCGCCATCGTAATCTTTCTTCTTCTTCTTCTTCTTCCCCCTTGGACCCTGGCCTCTGATTTTTCAGTTTCATGATCATTTTACAGAGGGCAGGACTCTGGACGAGTAATCAGCTCGTCGCAAGGCCTCTACCTAAACACAGGACAACACAAACATAGAATACACACCAAACATCCATGTCTTGTGCGGGTTTCGAACCCACGATCCCGGCTTCCGAGCGAGCGAAGACAGTACATGCCTTAGACCGCTCGGCTACCGTGACCGGCATCCTATCTTCAGTCAGTTGAATTTAGTTCATATCTTCAGACCATGTATCTCACAAATCAATTATAATTTTATCTTATTATCTGCGTAATTTGAGCATGATAGTTAAGCTACCGTAATGATCAGGTTACAAACTGGACAACCGGAAAATCGAGGTCCGATTCTCGGTAGGGGAAAGTGATTTTTCTCTTCTCCATAGAGTCTAGACCGACTTCCCCAATACGTGTACTTGGCGTAATGCTAAACACCCTAAAAACTTAATTTCTTCAAAATAGTACATTATAACAATTGAATTCGTACCTCAGAGGAAACACATTCTTCTATGATCAACTGATTAATGCTTTGTAGGGAAGAAGAAAGCTGTTTATTGTGAGAACCTTATGAAACACAAAAGTACACTCTGTGGGCAGAATGTAGAGATTTAGTGAGTTGAAGTAGGTGGTACATACGTCAACCAGCGAGCTTTAAATGGTTAATTAGACACAGAGATAATTTCACTTTTATCATTATCTATGCTATTCCATTCGGGTATTCAAATAAAATTTTGTCCTACTTCTTCCGCACATTTCATCCTATTTCGTTTGGTTACCCTAATAATACTGATACATGATGTACATAACACAGAATGCAAAGTATTAACCTCCTACCTGTAACATTTTGCTGCATTGTAAGCAAATACAACCCTTCATCTCTAAGTAGGTTTACAGGCCTATGAAGAGTTCTCACTGTATTCAATAAATATTCAAATTTAAAACACTGGCATTTTTATGAAAACTCTTCATAACAATAACTTAATTCAATTCTATTCAATTAATTTTTATTTATTTGCGTGCTTACTGAATGAGTCGGAATAGCGCACAATGGCTACGGGCTGGACGACCGAAAGTTCGGAGTTCGAGTCCCTGTAGGGGCAAGAACTTTAACTTCTAATTGTCGTCCAGACCGGCTCTGGGGCCCACCCAGCCTCCTATCCAATGGGTACCGGGAGCTCTTTCCCCAGGGGTAAAGGAGCCGGGGCGTGAAGTTGACCACTCATCTGCAGCTAGTGCCGAGGTCAAGAAAACGTGTATCTGTATATCCACTCCCCCCCCCCAACACCTTGATGATGTAGTGCCTAATTAGTTATGCACAAGGATAAATTTATCTTTACCATAAACATTCTTGTGTACATGTTCTCGCGAGCCGAGTTTGGTTCGAGAGGCACAGACTGAGCAGCTTACTCACCCACTCGCCACCACCTACTTAGTTCGCATTGTAGTGTACAGTGGGAGGGAATGTCTTGTTTAGGAATAATATGCAGAGAAACTTCGGCCCACCAGGCCAGCTCACCTTCACCTTGGTACCAGTGACAGTGTGGGACAGAATCCAGCATTCACCCAAATTCTCGCATCTTCATTTGCCACATACTGAAAACAAAATATTAAGGCAGATGGCGGCCACTTGCGTCGCAACTGAAAACTGAAATTACGGCAGACTAAACGAAGCAACTAATTTCCGAACGTGAGCACAGGCCTGCAGCTTGATGTCAATGTACAGTAGAAGCTGAAAGTAATTTATAAATTCACTGCATCTTGACACAATGAGACCACATAATTGTTTTCCATTCCTTTTCTTTACCTTTTTTTTTAGTTCCCTTGCTTCTCTCCTTGTCTCCTATCTCTCTTCTTTCACATTTCCCCTTTCCTTTACTTTCTTTCTTTATTCGTCTCCCTTTTAAAATCCCTTTGTATATGTCATCATAGAGGAAGACATCTGATATTACTGCCTTCTGTGACTTTAGATACGATATAAGATTGACTTGACCGCTTCTGTGATCTAGTGGTCAGCGTTCTTGGCTACAGATCCAGAGGTCCGTGTTTGGTTCCCGGCGCTACCCACACTTTTTCTGAGAAGTAGTGGGTCTGGAACAGCTGAGCGACTATCGCTTTCTCAGAATATGTCCTGCTTCATAGCAACAGTTGCATAGTTATATCTCTGGCCGTGCCATGGCTCAGACGGTTAGTCGCCGGCTTCCAACCGCGGCGGCAGGAGTACGAGCCCAGGTCAGGTAATGTGGGATTTGTGGTGGACAAAGTAGCATTGGAGTAGGTTTTCTCCAAGTACTTCGGTCTCCCTTGCCAATTCTCATTCCACTGACTGCTCCACACTCATCATCTGTCATCCGGGGCTGGTACAATAGGCCAGTTAGTGGCCGACGTACCAAATGGACTCAGTCTCATCCCACCCCAGAAACAAAAAAAAAAACTAAAATAACTAGTTGTATCTGCTCGTACAAAATTTCAATCGTAAAGATACATGGCAAATTGGGAATATTTAGAACGATAAAGTTTGTATTCTTGTTAACAAGTTGATGACATTTGCTGTAGTGTCACTTGTTACAATATTTGAAGAGAAGTAACTGCACTGGGTGACAGAAAGAAATTGTAATGCATGAGTGGTCTAAAGCAGAGAAATGCTGCTTCGTTATAAATTTTGAAAAATGAATACGAAAATCAATACACGAATTCATTTCTTTTATTTTTAAGATGCTAGCTGTTGGCAAAAAGATTTTAGTTCCATTTATTACAAACGTTTTCGTCTAAATTCCAGTGAAATAAGCGGTTCGAGAACAGAAACCAGTTTCAACCTTTAAGAAGTAATCTATTGTCACTCTGAACAATCAGACTCCAAATACAACATACTGAAGCTGCCCCTGGAGGAGAGCTAAACCTCGTACACAATAGGCTGAGAAGCTGTGCATGAACTTTGGTTGTGAATCCGCAGTCACACGGGTCCAGAGCTAATATTTACTGATGAAAGAGATTTTTCAGAAGTGTAAAGACATGCTGCAGTATTCCACTAAAGGATTAGGTTCTTACATTCTTAAGCTCGCCGACATTTCTGGAGGTCTTATGGTTAATAGGTGGTAAACATGGGAAGCAGGCTTGGTGGGAGGGGGAGAGTTAATGTGCGGTGGAGGGCGTGCAGTTCTCTACGTTCACACGTTCAAGAAATTGTGGACGAGACCTGTTATTCTGTTGCTTTACTTAACCGTTCCTCAGCCAATGGAAGTCGACTGTAAGTATAAAGACAAGCGCATACCCGAATACGGGAATCGAGTGAATTCCCGAAACGTCTTCTATATTATTTATGGACTTATATGGGTAGAAAATTCAGCATATGTGGGGAAGAAAAGGAATGAATATAGGATTTTGATGGGAAAGTCAAAAGGAAAGAGACCACGGGAAAGGCCAAGGCGGAGGTGGGTGGACAATATTAAAATGGATCTTAGATAGGATTGGACGGTATGGATTGGATTGATCTGCCTCAGGATAGTGACCAGTGGAGGGCTCTTGTGAACATGGTAATGAACCTTCGGGTTCAATAAAATGCTGGGAAATTATTGAGTAGCTGCAGAATTGGCGGCTCCTCAAGAAGGGCTCGGCTCCATGAGTAAGTAAGGATGGGATGGTATGGGCTGGATTGATCTGGCCCAGAATAGGGACCGCTAGAGGGCTCTTGTGAACACGGTAATGGACCTTCGTATTCTATAAAATGCTGAGAAATTCTTGAGTAACTGCGCAACTGGCGGCTTCTTAAGAAGGGCGGAGCTCCATGAAGTTAGTTCATATTAAGCTGACGAATTCTGCCAGTCTCAGTAAAATGCAGTGATCATGAATCACAAGAATACGGGAAAAGATCAAACTTCCGAAACGTCGTGTATACTATGGACCTATTTCATACGTTGACGATGTAAATCAATCTGCGTAGAATAGTGACCACCAATAATATGAATACGGGAAGAGGACGAACTCCCGAAACGTGGTTCATATTAAACTTATCTCATATTAAACATAACCCTGAGCCACAAGGACCATAGATCNCGCCCCGTTCAGCCGACGAGGTCGGCTGTCGGTACCTGATATTTCCCCCATCTATCAGAGGCATTGGAAACTACTTGGGCGGGAAATTGTTGCCGTAAATCTACGACACAGGACCCACGGCTTATGTCCCTCCCGGAGGACTTGTTCCCTGAATTTTTCCGCCCTTAAAAATTCCACGACTTCCGCCGGGTTTGAACCCGCGTACCTTGAGTCATGAGGTGGGAACGTTACCCCTAGACTACGGAGGCCGCTGCTGATGAATCATAGTTACACCTTCTGACTACGGAGGTACGGTACATGGGCAGTTGCTTCAAACCCGTGTGGAGGCGGGGTCGAATACTTCCACCGTAGCGTTGCGAGCAGTAAGATGCAATGAAATGGGAACCCAGTGCCTGGTGGTATAACCGGACCACCCTGTTCCTGTGGGATATAAATACGGGAACCTGGCCCTTCAGCTTAGGGGAGTCTCGAATCTGAGAGAGCAATATGTGGTCAAGAGTCCCGCGGGACTCGGATCTGAGAACGACTGCGCTGGCGAGACCAGCAGCAATTGCAAATGACAGACGCATCGTCTCGTGTTACATACGGACTATAACCGCAAGTGTTCAGTTGGAAAATAAAATTATTTTTCGTGATCTTCGAGGGGTTGGTGCCAAGACGAACTGATTGGTGGTAAACCGCCAGTCGCAAAGCAACCCTGACACTGACTCCAGTTGCTTCCGGTGTGAGATGTTTGTCTGGTTCCATGGTGAATTGTAAGGGGTCAGAATGTTGAAGTGCTGAATAGCTTAGGGGCCGTATTGTACCTTAGGTTGTGTACTTGGGAGTCGCATTATAAAAAATCTATTACCTATATTTATACAAATATCTGCCCCGCAATGATCAGATATATGAAGAACAAACAGGGTAAAAACAATTGGACCTTTAAAGTTAAAAAAATATATAAATTTAACGTTGCCACATTTCCGTCGCTTCGTCAAATGTTTACTAGGCTGTATTGAAATTACGTATGCCCTTGAGGTTATTTTGATGGCATATCTTTCTACTTACATTACAGACGTCGCTGTTATCAGACGAAAAATTGCACGGAATATTTATTAATCATTTTCGTGATTATTTTTATTTTTGACAAAATTTGTGGCCTTTCGTAAGAAAGAGGAAAACGTGAACACGTTTTGGGGAACGGAACGATATTCATCAGGGACGAATAAAATCAACTGGAGGGCCCCCTCCGGCCGCGTGCAACCAACTGTATAAAGCTGTAATATACTATTGTGAGACCCGTCGTATAGAAAAAATTGCTTCCGAGATTTCTTTCGTTACAAAACAGCGATCATATTGTAGCATGTAGACCCGTTGCTAAGTAATGACTGTAAACAACGCCCGTTGCTAGAAAACAGACTCTTCACAAGTGCAGATTAACTGGATGGAAAGTGGTGTTTTCTGCATGGTCCGCGCCGATGGCCGCGCACGCAACAATGTATACAGCAACAGAGGGAATTTTCTGTGCGGTCCGTGCCTATATGTTATAAGTAGGACAATTAGTGGAGCGCGTTAAGTTCAGTTCAGTTAAGTGGAGTAAGTTACAGGATTGCTGTGGTTCAGTCCTTGTGAGCCGTTGCTGTTAGAAGCTGATAGCTGAGGCACGGGGCTAGTTACGGAACTCAGAGTAAGTGGAACGTCTGTCACTGAAGCCGTTACAGAGAAACGGTAGGTAAAAACGTGAGTGTGAACGCTTATCTGTGTGTGATAGTGATTTATAAAGTGTAGTCACGAATTGTATTAGAGTCCAATAAATTCAATTACCATTCCAAACCCCGTCTATAGTCGAACTTCATACATGTGATGACGTATTTATGAAAACTGTAATATAAGAAGAGTTCTATTCAATAAATAATTACTCTGACGAGTTTGAGTATTACATCAGACAGGACTGAAGCTGAAACACAAGTTTTATCTACATTTTTGCCTGATAGTTACCTGTTCAGATTTATGCCTATTATCAGAAAGATACGTTCAAGAGCTTTCGTCATAATGTATTTCTCAAAAAGATCAGTGGAACAATACTTCGAAATAGTTAATGGTTCTTTTTGTTCGACATGTCCAATTTAAACCACACAGAAGAAATAACATAACACAACACACCACAACAAGACATAACATAACATAATATAACACAACGAATATAATAATACTTTGAAGTTCTCGTGGGACTGGATGTAGAGATTGCTTCTGGGCCGTGACGCCAGATAGTCCGATAGAAGTTCACCAATGTTTCGCAGGAACGTACCGCCTTCGTCTTCAGGCTCAAAAAGCAAATGATCCAACAAAATGCAACAAAACTCTCAATGCCTTATACGTTCAATGATGAAGACTAAGTCATGTGTTGGCACAAGTACGAGTAGTTTATAGCAGTTTAGTAACAGAAAAATTAAGGTTTTATACTGAGTCGTTATTATAACGTTATTTTAAACTGTTCGAGGGGCAATAACGTGTTGAATATAATTGCTCAGTGTCAGAGGACAGAGAATAAACTGATCTAA